CGTGCGGGCCAGGGCCAAATGACACCCGAATCACACTGGTGTGCTTCCCCCTCGGCAGAGCCGGATCCAGGTGGGTGGGGCAAGAGTGATGCTAACCTGAGTGTCCCAGCGGGTCCTTCTCTGTCTGCTCAAGGATTCTGCCTTTTCTGCCTGTTTCTTTCCCTCCCACGCCCAATCCCCGCCCTCAAGGAAGGCATCTTGGGCTTTTGTGATATGGACTCAAGAGGAGACAGGGACCGGGTGGGGTGGTGTCCCTATGCCCCTCCCATAGTATTTGAGAAAAGCAAGGAGAGGCCTGTCTTACTTTGCAATTGCTTTTCAGGTCCTGGACTGGGTTTCTTTGGTTGCGATTCCACTGAGACCGGGCTTCATTGGTGCTGGTTCTCTAGGCATTTAAGTATCTTTAACTCACTCACTGACTAAACATCAACCCGTGGGTTCCCTGACCTTGAGGCCCGGCCTCTGACGGGGAAAAGGCCCAGAGAGAAACCCTGGGCAAAGGGCTGGATTCTGATTTTTAAAGTATTTACAGGCTCCCCCTGACCGAGAGGCTTAAGGACCATCTGGTCACCCTTTCTGACTTGGAGCGTGCCATCTCTTCCGCGCTAGACACGCAGGATCTTCACAAGCCCGGGGCAGGGGGACACGGGGCTCCATGGTGTGAAAATAATGCCAGGATCCTCTGGCGCTAATGGGCAGATGCCAAAAAGCACAAAATACCAAGAACTGGAAGGAGACCACGGGAAAGGCTGTCCCAGACCCGGGTTACAGTGGCAAGCTCACGGATCTCATCTCTTCCCCTTCCTCCCCTCCGGTCATCTGTCGCACCTGGTCACGGCACTGGATTGGGAATGGGCGTGGGTTTAAATTGCAGGAAGACGGTGCTGGGCTACGGAGGGAGAGCAGTTTTTGTTGTGAGGGGTATGTCTTGTCCACAGCACCAACCCTGGGCGTGGGTTCGGGTACACAAGGCTTCGAAAAAATAAGACCTCCTCAAGTTACAGTCAGTCGGCTTGTTCTTTGTCTCCTTTTATGGACCCCAAAGGGCTGCGGGCATGGAAGGGGCGGACGGAGGGCCCCAGATGACAATGAGCTCACAAAGGCATCACAGAGCAGAGAAGCAGCCAGCTGACGAGACCCATTCCCTTCGGATGCACCCCCCTTGGCTCACGCATCCTTGCTCATTGTCTGGGATTTCGAGCCGGGCCAGGCTCAGCGTGGAGGCCTTTGTGAAACCCCAACCTTGGCTCATTTGCCATTCGGTGGCCGTCACTACCACTCTCCCCGCACAGCAGCTGCTATCGTAAATCTTCCAGGTCTATTAACAAAGCGTTTAGGCTCATAAATCTTCTGGCCCTTGCTCTTCCATCCTCAACAAAACACTCTGTGTGTCTGCAGACTGATCCCCCTCCCTCTCCAGTTCCCCAAAGGTTGAGTCTAGGATGGCTGGGTGATGAATGCTTGTATTCTGCCCACGCCTGATTTTTCAGACTGGAGACGGGAAAGCACCAGGAGGAAGACAGCCCCAAGAGCTTCCCCAGGAGGCATCGCCAAATGGATTCACCTGGGCTTTGCCATGAGGCAGGCGGGACGGAGGGCCTTCCCCTCTGGTGAAGGCTGAGCCCCTGGACCACTTGCTGGGGGACCTGACATCCCCGAGATTTTCCCATCATGCCTTGGAAGGGCTGTCTGCTGCTGAGGATGAAAACCAGCACCAGCCGTGCCCACTTCTCTGGGGATAGGCCAGCTTCCCCCTCCCCCACCCCCCCACTCTTGGATGGATTTGCAATTTGACTATCACCATGGAAACTCAGAGTTTTGGCACATGAAGGTGGGGGGAAGTCCTCCTTTTTGGAAAGTCTTTCCAGACTGCCTGAAAGGATAGGTGTGGCAGCTGCGGTGGGTCCTGTGGAGACGCCTTGCCTGGGCCGGTCCAGGGGACTGGCAGGATCCTGGCTCCGCCTCCCTTGGGATTTGGGGACCTGCTCCCTGGCTCTGCTCTGCCACCACCTCTCTTTGTGACCCTGGGCACCTCACAGTGTGCCATCACACACACAAAGAGGCCAACCCGGACAGCGACTCTGGGTCTGAATTCTAGGATTCCTCTTCGGGTCAGTTTTGTTCATCAGTGGAGAGACCCCAAAGCCCCTCTCGGGTTGAGAGGTGGGGAGACGCGACGTCTGGGCCACGCGACACCCGCCTGCCTGGCACAGGACAGCCGGCAGCCTGCGAGCTCGGGAGGCACTTGCGAGCTGCTCGGCTTGGAGGCTCCCAGAGCCCCAGAAATTATGGGAATTAGAGAGGAAGAGAGATATTTTCAGCAAACATTCTGCCAAGGCAAAGCAGATGGTGGAAAATTTTGCATACCAAAAACAACACTTTTTTTTTAACGTATAG